TGCAGGTCCGCCCTTTCCTGAAACCAGATTGGGGCACCGCAAGGTTCTCCTCAGTGTGTCTGGCAAGGAGGTGTTGAATAATCCTTGCCAGGACCTTTCCCGGCACATTAAGGAGGGAGATGCCCCTGTAGCAACCCGCGACCACCACACATCCTTGCAGCGCCTCACGGCTCTCCGAACCAACAAGCGAAGGCTGCGGTAAGCCTCCTCATTCTCTGATGTGGGATGATGTAGACGATGAGAGTGGGCCTGTCGCTTTTTCTCAGCCAGCCTGGACACCTCCTCTGTCAGCCAGGGTCTCTGGGGAGATTTGGATCATATACCCAAAGCAGCCATTGCAGCTGCATGAGCCACAGTCCTAAACCTCGCCCATTTCCCCTCGGCATCGGGAGGAGTGGGGGACGATGCCAACCCCAGCTGCAAGCGATGATAAAATGCTCACTTGCAACTATCATCAGCTAGCTGAGACCAGGTCACTGTGGATTTGAATGGGGTCCTGGGTGTACACCCACCACCAGAGTGTAAGAATGGCAGGCGCTTCTTACAGATGACAAACCCCGATGGTCAGTGGGCAGATCAACTCCACGGTATATTCTGGTGTCAAGGACATGGGCCCACATCCACTGTTCCGCCACTAAGTAGTGCAGCAGATGTTCTTGCTTGGACCCGGCGTGCATCCATGATTTTGTGTGGATGCGCCAATGCCAGAACAGCATGTTGGTAATTACAAGCCCAATGGGCTGCAAAAAACACTAGCAGCCTCGCACCGTTGTTATTGAGCTGATCTGACCCATGCCTTCCAATCACTCCAGACCAGGTGCCAGCATCATGATCAACTCGGGCATTAAAGTCACCCAACAGGATGACTCCATCCCGAGAGGCCACTTTAGCAAGCACCTGTGACAGATGATCATAGAAGGCATCTGACTCATGGGCCTTATCTGCATTCCTTCACTTATGTTCATCTTCGATGGGGGCATAAATAACCACGATCACCACTTCTCGGCTCTGGTTGATGGGAAGACGACCTCAAAGTAGCCTGGGGCTTACAGCTTCCCACATCTCATCGCTCCGCTCCCACGCCCCCTTCATTCTTTTGTTCAGAAGAAGAGCCACTCCCTGTTGTTTGGCAGTCTCCTGCCCCGAGGAGAGGACTGTCCACCCTCATGATGGCAGGAGCCAGAGCCAGTCCACCGGACCTCCTGAATACCGTCTAGATCCAGGCGGTACCGATCCAGCTCCCGACAGAGGAGTGGCAGCCTCTCCTCCGCAGTGAGTGTTCGGACATTCCACGTGGCCACCCGCAGTGGCTTTTTTTCTGTTTCTGGAGGAAACCCGAGGGTAAGGATTCAATCTCTTGGCCAGGAGACATCATAGTCCCCTTGGGGCCTCCGACACAAGCTTAGCTTTCACATGGTTTTGTGGTAATTAAATTGAAGGTGGAGGGGTTACCAGCCCCTCGCACCCATCCAGAGCCCCCATTTGGCCTCTGTGGTGGCTACAAACACCATAAGGGGAATAGCCAATCGAAATTGGCCCTCCCCCCATGGCAGTGATCACCACAGCGTTACCGTCTGGCACCAACGAGGAGGTAGGGGGTTGTTTCGCTACCACCACCAGCATCACCAGCATCACCATCATCACCATTACCACCAGCATCACCACCAGCATCACCACCATCACCACCATCATCACCATCACCACCAGCATCACCACCAACATCACCACCATCACCACCATCACCACCATCATCACCACCAGCATCACCACCAGCATCACCAGCATCATCACCAGCATCACCAGCATCACCACCAACATCACCACCACCACCACCGCGTGAGGTCGTGCTGAAGGCCCCTCTTGGGCCCACGTTCTTACTCTTCAACAATGCTACTTCATTTTTAGATTTAAAGCTTTCGTGACTGCTAGGATCCATACTCTTTGGTTCTATTGGGTAAAGTCACGTAGGTGAAAATAAAATAACCAAAATTCACGACGTTTCGGCCACAACACAAGCGGCCTTCATCAGGTGAAGGGACGAGACTGTCTGGAGGACAGCGCTGGAGTGGGAGACGCCACGCTTAGATCACGACCTTTAAGCTGTGTGAGAAGAAAAACACCAAGCGCCTTGACAAAGGAATTAGCATATAATTTAGCATTGAAATGGCTCATTGAAATAGCTTAGTTAAAGTATACACATCCGCAGAGGTACCCCTTGACAAAGGAATTAGCATAGAATTTAGCATTGAAATAGCTGAGTGATTAGCTTGTAACTGTTCACAGAAATAGCTATGTTAAAGTTAGAGCATATACCTTCACCGAGGCACCTAGTACTCATCAAACAGGATAATTTAGCGAAACACAACCACGCTCAGACAGCGGACCTTTAAGCTGTGTGCGAGCAAACAAGGTGTTCTGACAAAGAAATTAGCATCAAAAATAGCATTTTATTGGCGGATTTTAGGAAAGAGGTGGTGTACGTGCCGTTTGGCGCGGGGGGGGGGAAGGGGGGGGAGGGGGAGTTTACCTATTGATGGTGTGAAAAGGGGAATTTATAAGAGCTGCAAAAGTTTGGGGTACCACTACTTGAAAAAATATACTGTACCATTGAAATTAGTTTAATGTTTAGTTCGATTTAGAACATCTTTCCAATGGTTGCTTAATTTGAAACCATCCTCTCGGTTGAAACTGTGTCTGTGTTTATAGATCTGAATTGCTTCATAAAAAATCTCTGATAAAAGCCCGTGGGTTTGCAAAGAACCTTGGTATCGGAGAAAATTATATCGTGATCCCCCACAGCGTTGTAACAGTGATCAGCCACGGCAGAAGAATTCGTTTTGCCGTGTTTCAAAGGGGTACCTCTGCGGATGTGTATACTTTAACTTAGCTATTTCAATGAGCCATTTCAATGCTAAATTATATGCTAATTCCTTTGTCAAGGCGCTTGGTGTTTTTCTTCTCACACAGCTTAAAGGTCGTGATCTAAGCGTGGCTTCTCCCACTCCAGCGCTGTCCTCCAGACAGTCTCGTCCCTTCACCTGATGAAGGCCGCTTGTGTTGTGGCCGAAACGTCGCGATTTTTTGTTATTTTATTTTCACCTACGTGACTTTACCCAATAATGCTACTTCATCCCCAGTGGGGTGGTGGTGATGCTGGGATAGCCCAGTGGAGTTCACAAGAAGTCACAAACAACAAACTCGTCAGGATAGGGTAAGCAACTTGGAGGTTGGGGACAGGAGGAGGTAGTGCTGGGAGGGACGCGTGGTGCGCAGGGTGGACGAGGAGGGCATCGGAGTGGCACCCACGGGGAAGAGAATACCCTGAGCCAGATCGGCAGGGATGGTGGTGATGGTGGCGGTGTAGGTGGTCGTGGCGGTGGTGGTGGTGATGATGATGATGATGCCAAATCTGTAACAGCGGTTCGACTGTGTACGTGGCGAGTGACGACGGGACGAGTGGTGCGAGTGAGGGGCTGGTAATGATAATTTAATTTGAGTGACGAGTCCGAGTGATTGACGAGGTGAGCATTGTCAGCGACGCACGCGGAGTCGTCCCCTGTTGTAGGGGGAGCGAGGAGCCCCCGCTCCCAACCCCTCGCACACCCCCAACCAGGGGATCAAAGGGGACGAACCCCTCTCCGCCTCGTTCGGGGGGGGGGGGGTCAATATTGTCTCAAGGCGGTGTCTTCCAATGCGAGGAAGCCACGCGCCACACGGGGGAGGGGGAGATCCTGGTGAGACCCCCGCGGCCCCTCCCCTCGCTTCGTCGCCGCTACCCACCCCTTCCCCCAGGAGATACCTCGACTCCCCGCTCCACTCTCCTCCTCCTCCTGCCAGCTCCACTCTCCTCTTCATCCCAGCTCCACTCTCCTCATCTCAGCTCCACTCTCCTCCTCCTGCCAGCTCCACTCTCCTCCCCATCCCAGCTCCACTTCCCTCATCTCAGACCCACTTTCCTCATTCCAGCTCCACTCTCCCCATCCCAGCTCCACTTCCCTCATCCCAGACCCACTTTCCTCATTCCAGCTCCACTCTCCCCATCCCAGCTCCACTTCCCTCATCCCAGACCCACTTTCCTCATTCCAGCTCCACTCTCCTCATCTCAGCTCCACTTTTCTCATCCCATCTCCATTTTCCTCATCCCAGCTCCACTCTCCTCATCCCAGCTCCACTCTCCTCCTCATCCCAGCTCCACTCTCTTCATCCCAGACCCACTTTCCTCATTCCAGCTCCACTCTCCTCATCTCAGCTCCACTCTCCTCCTGCCAGCTCCACTCTCCTCTTCATCCCATCTCCACTTTCCTCATCCCAGCTCCACTCTCTTCATCCCAGCTCCACTCTCCTCCTCATCCCAGCTCCACTATCTTCATCCTAGCTCCACTTTCCTCATCCCAGCTCCACTCTCCTCATCCCAGCTCCACTCTCCTCATCCCAGCTCCACTCTCCTCCTCATCCCAGCTCCACTCTCTTCATCCCAGCTCCACCCTCTTCATCCCAGCTCCACCCTCCTCATCCCAGCTCCACCCTCCTCATCCTAGCTCCACTCTCTTCCTCAGCTTCAAGCTCATCCCTAGCTCCACCCTTCCCCTCCCCCTTCTCCCCCCTTCCCCTCCCCCTTCTCCCCCCTGCCCCTCCCCCTGCCGCCGCCACATCCACAGTCGCAATATCAGACCCAGCTTTTCGCACTTTGCCAACGGATCGAAATCCGCGGCAGCCTTACATTTATTAATTAAAGCTCAGCCTCTTCCACTCTGAAAGTGACGATTCTTCACTAAACAGTATATTTCCGCCGATTTCTAATCAACAGTGCAAGTTACTCTTTGCGCTTCTTCGCTTAAATATCGTGTCGAGGAATGGCGCGTTTCACGGTTGTGGAGATCTTCCACGGATTTCTAGTCGAGGCATTTTTTGTTTGAAGCTGCGATTCTGCCACTCCCCCCTCCCCCACACAACGCCCTCCCTCCATCACCACCACACTCGCACCACTCCCCTCACCACTCCCCCACCACTCCCCTCACCACTCCCCCACCACTCCCCTCACCACCCGGGTGTCACACGCGGACACACAAAGACGACACCAGCCTGACAACACCTGTGCTCGCGTGAGACTCCCGTCGCCAAATCGTCATCACAATCACCGTGACATCTGATGCGAGACGCGCCGTCATCATAACGAGTGAGAGATCATCGCTCACGATAGCATAACGCGTATTGTTGTTGTTGTCGTCATTGTAATTGCTAATTGAAGCCTCGGCTCGTGAGGCTGCGCCACGCTGAGTCGCCCTTCCACGGCTCCGCTCCTCCTCCATCTGGGGCCAATTAGTCCGGCTCCGGGATCGCACCCAATCCCCGCCACGTGGAGGTCACGACCGCCGGACCGAGGGGAGGAGGAAGAGAGAGCGAGAGAGCGCGGGGAGAGTGGGCGAGAGGGGGAGAGACGCACAGTGAGTGTGGGAGAGAGAGGGAGAGAGCGCGAGAGAAGCGGACGGGAGTGAAGTAAGTAGCAACCCTGCGTGTGTGAGAGTAGCAACTGTGTGTGTGCGGTGTGACTGTGTGTGAGGTGTGACTGTGTGTGTATGTATGTGAGTTGTGACTGTATATGTGAGTTGTGACTGTGTGTGTGAGTTGTGACTGTGTGTGTGAGTTGTGACTGTGTGTGTGTGTGTGAGTTGTGACTGTGTGACTGTGTGTGTGAGTTGTGACTGTGTATGTGAATTGTGACTGTATATGTGAGTTGTGACTGTGTGTGTGAGTTGTGACTGTGTGTGAGTTGTGACTGTGTGTGTGAGTTGTGACTGTGTGTGAGTTGTGACTGTGTGACTGTGTGTGTGAGTTGTGACTGTGTGTGTATGTTAATTGTGACTGTGTGACTGTGTGTGTGAGTTGTGACTGTGTGTGTGAGTTGTGACTGTGTGTGTATGTGAATTGTGACTGTGTGACTGTGTGTGTGAGTTGTGACTGTGTGTGTATGTGAATTATGACTGCGTGTGTTGTATGTGAGTTGTGACTGTGTGAGTGAGTTGTGACTGTGTGTGTATGTGAATTGTGACTGTGTGTGTGAGTTGTGACTGTGTGTGTATGTGAATTGTGACTGTGTGACTGTGTGTGTGAGTTGTGACTGTGTGTGTATGTCAATTATGACTGCCTGTGTAGTATGTGAGTTGTGACTGTGTGTGTATGTGAATTGTGACTGTGTGTGTATGTGAATTATGACTGCGTGTGTAGTATGTGAGTTGTGACTGTGTGTATGTGAATTGTGACTGTGTATGTATGTGAGTTGTGACTGTGTGTGTGAGTTGTGACTGTGTGTGAGTTGTGACTGTGTGTGTGAGTTGTGACTGTGTGTGTGAGTTGTGACTGTGTGTGTGAGTTGTGACTCTGTGTGTATCTGAATTGTGACTGTGTATGTATGTGAGTTGTGACTGTGTGTGTGAGTTGTGACTGTGTATGTGAGTTGTGACTGTGTGTGTATGTGAATTATGACTGCGTGTGTAGTATGTGAGTTGTGACTGTGTGTATGTGAATTGTGACTGTGTATGTATGTGAGTTGTGACTGTGTGTGTGAGTTGTGACTGTGTATGTAAGTTGTGACTGTGTGTGTATGTGAATTATGACTGCGTGTGGAGTATGTGAGTTGTGACTGTGTGTATGTGAATTGTGACTGTGTATGTATTTGAGTCGTGACTGTGTGTGAGTTGTGACTGTATGTGTGAGTTGTGACTGTGTGTGTGAGTTGTGACTGTGTGTGTATGTGAATTGTGACTGTGTATGTATGTGAGTTGTGACTTGGTGTGTGAGTTGTGACTGTGTATGTGAGTTGTGACTGTGTGTGTGAGTTGTGACTGTGTGTGTGAGTTGTGACTGTGTGTGTGACTGTGTGACTGTGTATGTGAATTATGACTGCGTGTGGAGTATGTGAGTTGTGACTGTGTGTATGTGAATTGTGACTGTGTATGTATGTGAGTTGTGACTGTGTGTGTGAGTTGTGACTGTGTGTGTGAGTTGTGACTGTGTGTGTATGTGAATTATGACTGCGTGTGGAGTATGTGAGTTGTGGCCGAGAGTTGCAGGAGCGGCGATCTTCATCGTCGCCGCGTTATCTCCGTGCGGAGTGCGGCGAACGTCGAGTTATCCCATCGGACAGTCGACTTATCCCATCGGACAGTTGAGTTATCCCATCGGACAGTCGACTTATCCCATCGGACAGTCGAGTTATCCCATCGGACAGTCGACTTATCCCATCGGACAGTCGAGTTATCCCATCGGACAGTCGACTTATCCCATCGGACAGTCGAGTTATCCCATCGGACAGTCGAGTTATTCCATCGGACAGTCGAGTTATCCCATCGGACAGTCGAGTTATTCCATCGGACAGTCGAGTTATCCCATCGGACAGTCGACTTATCCCATCGGACAGTCGAGTTATCTCATCGGACAGTCGAGTTATCTCATCGGACAGTCGAGTTATCCCATCGGACAGTCGAGTTATCCCATCGGACAGTCGAGTTATTCCATCGGACAGTCGAGTTATTCCATCGGACAGTCGAGTTATCCCATCGGACAGTCGAGTTATCCCATCGGACAGTCGAGCTGCCCTCGCGACAAGCAGCTGCCTCGCAGTTTCGTCTTCATGGTCAGGTCGAGTTCTATTTAAAGCAGCAGTGCACGAGTTCCTGTGGCCCAATGAGCATTGGGGCCATCTCTCATCCTGTGTACAGCCCTGCAGGGCCAGGCAGTGGTGAAAATTCCACATTCTTATGGCAGGGGGGGGGGGAGTCTTTCAACAGGACAATCGCTGTTGACTTGCCCACAAAGTGGTAGTCGTTTTAAGGACCCTGGGGGGAAGAATGATTGGCGGAGCACAACCAGGAGTTGAACTCGCACAAGCAAACCTTCCCATTGCCGAGCCTAAGGGTCTACATTGACGTGGCGTTATCCCGACGTCGAGCCATCTCACAGCCGTGCTTGGTGTCGAGTCATCTTCGGCGCGACGTTCAGTCGGCACCGTCACGTGACCGCCGTGAAATAATCCGTACAGGAACCCACGTGGTCAGCAGCGCACCCCGTGTAGGCGAGGGGTGAGGGGCTGTGGGGTGGGGGGCTACAGAGACCGGGATGAGACTCGTTGAGCGCTAACCGCATCATGCAACCGGGGACTTGACGATTGTTACCGATTCATCGACTGCTGCTGCTGCTGCTGCATCATCACAGCAGGTGTGGTGCCAGGTGGAGCCGGTAGAACCGGTACAGAACCTGGTCGAGTGACTTTGAAGGATTCGATTTTAATTGACGTAGGAAAGGGGTGGCGGGGGGATTGGAGAGTGGGGGGGGAGCTGTTGCGGGCTCGGAGGGGGATCGCGTGTCTGGCTCCCAGAATAGACGGACAGGGAACGTCGAGACACGGCAGCGCGCTCGTCTCTCGTGTTCACCATCACGGCCTCTCCTCCTCCTCCCGCTGCTGCTGCTGCTGAGTCTCCACTCACCACCTCTTTCCGCTCTGTCCGGCAATTTCATTTGACCACTGATTTGTAAATGTGTGGGTTCATAAGTCTAAGTACTGTAGTAGAAGCCATAGCGATAGGTATACTGGATGTGGTGTGCCGGGTGCGGACATATTCTGCGGGGCGCGTCGACGGCTGAAATGTATTCCTGGCCATAACACCAAGTACCAACCCAAGCCCGAACTCTAACACAACACCAACCCTAGCCCGAACTCTAACACAACACCAACCCTAGCCCGAATTCTAACACAACACCAACCCTAGCCCGAATTCTAACACAACACCAACCCTAGCCCGAACTCTAACACAACACCAACCCTAGCCCGAATTCTAACACAACACCAACCCTAGCCCGAACTCTAACACAACACCAACCCTAGCCCGAACTCTAACACAACACCAACCCTAGCCCGAACTCTAACACAACACCAACCCTAGCCCGAACTCTAACACAACACCAACCCTAGCCCGAACTCTAACACAACACCAACCCTAGCCCGAACTCTAACACAACACCAACCCTAGCCCGAACTCTAACACAACACCAACCCTAGCCCGAATTCTAACACAACACCAACCCTAGCCCGAACTCTAACACAACACCAACCCTAGCCCGAACTCTAACACAACACCAACCCTAGCCCGAATTCTAACACAACACCAACCCTAGCCCGAACTCTAACACAACACCAACCCTAGCCCGAATTCTAACACAACACCAACCCTAGCCCGAATTCTAACACAACACCAACCCAAGCCCCAATTCTTACACAACACCAACCCTAGCCCGAATTCTAGCACAACACCAACCCAAGCACGAATTCTAACACAACACGAACCCTCGCCCGAACTCTAACACAACACCAACCCTAGCCCGAATTCTAGCACAACACGAACCCTAGCCCGAACTCTAACACAACACCAACCCTAGCCCGAACTCTAACACAACACCAAGCCCTCGTAATAACCCGAGCCATGGCCCCTGTCCTCTCCTCCTGAGCCGAGCCCTGCCCCTCTCTGTCTGCCCCTCTCTGTCTGTCCCTCTCTGTCTGCCCCTCTCTGTCTGCCCCTCTCTGTCTGTCCCTCTCTGTCTGCCCCTCTCTGTCTGTCCCTCTCTGTCTGTCCCTCTCTGTCTGCCCCTCTCTGTCTGCCCCTCTCTGTCTGCCCCTCTCTGTCTGCCCCTCTCTGTCTGTCCCTCTCTGTCTGCCCCTCTCTGTCTGCCCATCTCTGTCTGCCCCTCTCTGTCTGCCCCTCTCTGTCTGTCCCTCTCTGTCTGTCCCTCTCTGTCTGTCCCTCTCTGTCTGCCCCTCTCTGTCTGTCCCTCTCTGTCTGCCCCTCTCTGTCTGCCCCTCTCTGTCTGTCCCTCTCTGTCTGTCCCTCTCTGTCTGTCCCTCTCTGTCTGCCCCTCTCTGTCTGTCCCTCTCTGTCTGTCCCTCTCTGTCTGTCCCTCTCTGTCTGCCCCTCTCTGTCTGTCCCTCTCTGTCTGTCCCTCTCTGTCTGTCCCTCTCTGTCCCTCTCTGTCCCTCTCTGTCTGTCCCTCTCTGTCTGCCCCTCTCTGTCTGCCCCTCTCTGTCTGTCCCTCTCTGTCTGCCCCTCTCTGTCTGCCCCTCTCTGTCTGTCCCTCTCTGTCTGTCCCTCTCTGTCTGTCCCTCTCTGTCTGCCCCTCTCTGTCTGTCCCTCTCTGTCTGTCCCTCTCTGTCTGTCCCTCTCTGTCTGCCCCTCTCTGTCTGTCCCTCTCTGTCTGTCCCTCTCTGTCCCTCTCTGTCCCTCTCTGTCTGTCCCTCTCTGTCTGTCCCTCTCTGTCTGTCCCTCTCTGTCTGTCCCTCTCTGTCTGTCTCTCTCTGTCCCTCTCTGTCTGTCCCTCTCTGTCTTTCCCTCTCTGTCTGTCCCTCTCTGTCTGTCCCTCTCTGTCTGTCCCTCTATGTCTGTCCCTCTCTGTCTGTCCCTCTCTGTCCCTCTCTGTCCCTCTCTGTCTGTCCCTCTCTGTCCCTCTCT